ACACACACACACACACACACACACACACACACACACACACACACACACACAGCTTGGTCCAACGTGTAATGCCTTGATAAGGGCACTTTACACGAATTTTCCATTAATTTCGCTGGGTCCTTTCGGAGATGGAAGTTAAATTAAATTAACTAGCAAGTGATCCTGCCTTTTGAATAAACGAATAAGTGCTGAAAGAGGCCTTAAATCTACATTGTAGGCCTATACCCTTTCACCATGTTCACCTTTTTTCGTCCACCGTGTCTGTGGTGTAACAGTAGTTTATAATAAGGCACTTCGCTGTCGCATCCAGAAGACCTGAGTAGGACTACAGAGTGGGGAGATATTTTTAACCCTATCCGTACGCCCTGGGGTCATTTTGTACCCCCATGGTTGTAATCTTCACATTTTAGAATAATTCTTCTAGTACGAAGATCTCTTTGAAACTTTCAGTATTTCTCTAAAAATCATTTTGACCGACTGCTATGCAAAGCGTACAGATCGGATACGAGTACATTTCCTCTTTGGAAAGTGGTGGCACAGAGTTCCCCACCGTGTATGGATACGATAGTAAAACACGACGTACCGTAGGCCTACGGATAGGGTTAAGACTTCGCCGTTGCATGCAGAAGACCTGAGTAGGATTACAGAGTGGGGAGATTTTTTTAAAAAAGTATTATTATTATTATTATTATTATTATTATTGTTATTATTATTATTTATTATTATTATTATTATTATTATTTATTATTATCATTATTATTATTATTATTATTATTATTGTTATTATTGTTGTTGTTATTATTATTATTATTATTATTATTATTATTATTATTTATTATTATCATTATTATTATTATTATTATTATTATTGTTATTATTGTTGTTGTTATTATTATTATTATTATTATTATTATTATTATTATTATTATTATTATTATTGGTGAGGCAGCGTGAAGGAATGCAGGCTCTCGTCAATTTTTGAGCATATATAGAGTTATTGGTATCATCTTGAAGATTGTTCACTCGTCTTTATTTGGATGAAAAAAATATCCATATATCTTGAATACATTACAAGTCGAGATATTTGTGAAAGAAGGAGGTGGGGGTCACCTGTTTTCAGGGGTAAAATTAGTGAGAAAATGGCCGCCAAAGATAAGGTATTTTCTTAGCTTAAGAGTCCGTGGTAAATAAAAATTTACTTTTTTGTGCCTTTAACCAACGTTTTTCAGAAAATTCCACGCAGCTAGGGGCTGTTCAAATATAATCTTACACCTTTTTTGGGACTTTTTGACCCCCCCCCCTCCCTTTCTTACACTTTTCTTACATTCGCCCTTATTATAGGAGTATGTATACAAGTCGTGTGGCTACCGGACTCGTAATCGTGAGGTTGCAGGTTCGGGGGTCTGCCTGCATCGCTCTCTCTCTCTCTCTCTCTCTCTCTCTCTCTCTCTCTCTCTCTCTCTCTCACACACACACACACACACACACACACAGCTTGGTCCAACGTGTAATGCCTTGATAAGGGCACTTTACACGAATTTTCCATTAATTTCGCTGGGTCCTTTCGGAGATGGAAGTTAAATTAAATTTTAATTAACTAGCAAGTGATCCTGCCTTTTGAATAAACGAATAAGTGCTGAAAGAGGCCTTAAATCTACATTGTAGGCCTATACCCTTTCACCATGTTCACCTTTTTTCGTCCACCGTGTCTGTGGTGTAGCAGTAGTTTATAATAAGGCACTTCGCTGTCGCATCCAGAAGACCTGAGTAGGACTACAGAGTGGGGAGATTTTTTAACACTATCCGTACGCCCTGGGGTCATTTTGTACCCCCGTGGTTGTAATCTTCACATTTTAGAATAATACTTCTAGTATGAAGATCTCTTTGAAACTTTCAGTATTTCTCTAAAATTCATTTTGACCGACTGCTATGCAAAGCGTACAGATCGGATACGAGTACATTTCCTCTTTGGAAAGTGGTGGCACAGAGTTCCCCACCTTGTATGGATACGATTGTAAAACACGACGTACCGTAGGCCTACGGATAGGGTTAAGACTTCGCCGTTGCATGCAGAAGACCTGAGTAGGATTACAGAGTGGGCATGCAGAAGACCTGAGCAGGATTACAGAGTGGGGAGATTTTTAAAAAAGTATTATTATTATTATTATTATTATTGTTATTATTGTTGTTGTTATTATTATTATTATTATTATTATTATTATTATTATTGTTTATTATTATTATTATTATTATTATTATTATTATTATTATTATTATTATTATTATTATTATTATTATTATTATTATTATTATTATTATTATTATTATTATTATTATTATTATTATTATTATTGGTGAGGCAGCGTGAAGGAATGCAGGCTCTCGTCAATTTTTGAGCATATAGAGTTATTGGTATCATCTTGAAGATTGTTCACTTGTCTTTATTTGGATGAAAAAAATATCCATATATCTTGAATACAAGTCGAGATATTTGTGAAAGAAGGAGGTGGGGGTCACCTGTTTTCAGGGGTAAAATTAGTGAGAAAATGGCCGTCAAAGATTGGGTATTTTCTTAGCTTAAGAGTCCGTGGTAACTAAAAATTTACTTTTTTGCGCCTTTAACCAACGTTTTTCAGAAAATTCCACGCAGTTATTAGTTCTTTAATGGGCTTGACAAGTGTTGAGCCAAAAAACAAAAATTTGATAAAAATCCACAAACCCTCGGAAAAATGCCAAGTTTCTTCACTTTGATTCTTTTGACGACAGCCTGATTCCACCACGCTGCCTCACATTGTTGTTGTGTAGCTCGGTCTTTTTGCTGGAATTTTGCATCCCTCTACTCGGACGTATACGTTGTTCCTGACAGTCAGGGTCACGGAAGACTCCTCCTTCAAAATCTAAAGCGTATCGTCGGTGATGGCATAAAAATACCTACAATTTAATTTTGAAAAAAAAAAAGAAAAGATTTTTCTTTCGTCCCAATGAAGGTAAACATTATTCTGATTATTTTTGACCATGCGAGACGAACCATTCCAGCGGATATAAAGCTTTATACATTCGTGTCAATTTTAATTCGATACAGAGATCAACTCCTCACCGATTCCTACGGGAAGCAGAGGAGGGAAATTAAAGGGGGGGGGGGGGGGGGGGGGG